TCTAGTCTATCAGGTCTCATCAGGACTGGCTGCATTGTCTTCCTCTGAGGCCTGGTAAAGCTGTACCCTCCTCAGGGGGAGATGATCAAAGAGCCATCCTCTTGAGTTCATGTCAGAGAGAGCCCCTCGTTTTTTTGTTTTGTTTTGTTTTGTTTTGTGTGTGTGTGTGTTATAATTTTTATTTTAGCTCTCTTCCACTTCTATGGTTAGGACTGCTTCTTTCGTTTTGTATTTGAGGCTAATGTGAAAGGGATTATTTTCCTGATTTTCTTCTCAGCATGACTGTGATTATATAACAACATTTTGTATGTTGACTTTCTGTAACACATCTCCACTATGTGTTGGAAATGTTTATCATATCTAAATATTCCATGGGGTAGTTTTTATCAAGGTTTTTAAAGTATAGTATCAAAATTTTTGCAAATAAGATTAATTCAATAAGATTTAATAGTTCTTCTATTTTTTAGTTGTATACATTTCATTTTTTCCCATGCTGTGTTGATCTAGATAAAAATTCCAGTGATGTATTAGATAAGAATGGAGAGAGTGGATATCTTTGCCTTGGTTTTCATTTTAGGGAAAATACTTTTATTTTTCCCCACTTTTGATATTTTTGGCTATACATTTGTTATGTGTGTGCATGTGCCTGTGCACGTGGTTCACCACAAACAAGCTGGTTTCATTCCAGAGATTTAGGAATGGTTTAACATAAGCTAATTATATAACACATATAACACGTTACATGTATAAAACTCGATATAAATTGCATGATTGTCTCAATAGATACAGAAAAAGCCTTAGACCAAGAGTTCAACATCTTTTTTAATAAAAGCCCTGAAATGAGGAAAAATATAGCATAATTCCCTCTCTATCTAAGGATGGATGGATAGATGGATAGATGGATAGATAGATAGATAGATAGATAGATAGATAGATAGATAGATAGATAGATAGATAATTTTCAGATGCCTTTAAGCTTTTCAAGCTTTTGTTGAGAGGACAGGTCTAATGTTTTCTGACGGAAATGCCTTTGGAAATATATTGGTATTTTTCTCTAGTATCGTTTTGTTGTTTGTTTTTGTTTTGCTGTGTTTGGCATTTGATTTTCATTTTCATACAGCCTTGCTATGGTATACCCTTCATGTATTCTCAACGTACTACAAACTCAAAAGTGACTAAACTCCACCTGTCTCAACTTCCTAAGTGCTAGGATAACAGGTATGTGACACCACACATAGCTTTCTCAAGCATTTAATATTCTTCTTTGTTCTATTTGCATTTAACTCTGATGTGACAGGGGGAGCTTCTAGTCTCGCCGTATTTCTTTTTTTTTTTTTTTCTTTGTGTAAGAAGAGCCCCTGTCCTGGACTCACTTTTGTAGACCAGGCTGGCTTCAAACCCACAGAGATCCACCTGTCGCTGCATCCCTGAATGCTGGGATTAAAGGCATGTGCGTCCTCTTAGGAATTCTTTTTTTCCTGCTGTTTTATTATCATTATTTATAATTTATTCATTTTGTATCCCAGCTATAGCCCCCTCCTTCATCTCTTCCCAGTCCCACTCTCCCTCTCCCTCTGTCTCCTCCCACCACGTCCCTTCTCCTAGTCCACTGATAAGGGAGGTCCTCCTCCCCTACTCTCTGACCCTAGCCCATCAGATCTCACCAGGACTGTCTGGATCCTCTTTCTCTGTGGCCTAGTATGACCACCTCACCAGGGGGAGGTAATCAAAGAGTAGACAACCGAGTTCATGCCAGTGACTTCCCCCGCTCTCCTTATTAAGGAACTCCCATGGAGACTGAGCTGCCCATGGGCTACATCTGAGCAGTTGAGTCTAGGTCCTCTCCATGCATGGTCTTTGGTTGGAGTATCAGTCTCAGAAAAGACCCCTGGGCTCAGGGTTTTTTTTTGTTTTGTTTTGTTTTGTTCTTTTGCTCTCCTTGTGGAGCTCCTGTCCCCTCTAGGTCCTTCTATCTTCCTCTTCTTCCATAAGACTCCCTGAACTCTGCTCATATGGCTATGAGTCTCAGCTTCTGCTTGGATACCTGATGGGTAGAGTCTTTCAGAGGTCCTCTGTGATAGGCTCCTGTCCTATTCCCTGTTTTCTCCTACTTCCAATGTCTATCCTGTTTGCCCTTCTGAATGAGGATTAAGCATCTTCTCTAGGGTACTCCTTGTTGTTCAGCTTCTTTAAGACTATAGGTTTTACATTTTTTAGCCTATATTATATAGCTAATATCCACTTATAAGTAAGTATATACCATGAGTGTCTTTCTGTTTCTGGGTTACCTCAATCAGGATGATCTTTTCTAGTTCCATCCATTTCCCTGCAAATTTCATGATCCTTGCTTTTAATTGCTGAGTAGTATTCCATTGTGCAAATGTACCACAATTTCTGTATCCATTCTTCAGTTTAAGGACATCTAGGTTGTTTCCAGATTTTATGAACAGAGTTGAGCAAATGTCCTTGTTGTTTGGTTGAACATCTTTCAGATATATGCCGAGGAAGTGGTATAGCTGGATCTTGAGGTAGTGCTATTCCTAATTTTCTGAGAAAGCGCCAGAGTGATTTCCAAAGTGGTTGCACAAGTTTACATTCCTACCAGCAATGGAAGAGGGCTCCCCTTTCTCTACAACCTCCCCATTATATGTTGTCCCTTGAGTTTTTTCTCTTAGCCATTCTGATGGATGTAAGATAGAATCTCAGGGTTGTTTTTATTTGCATTTTCTGGATGACTAAGGACCTTGAACATTTCTTTGTTACTCTGCCATTCGATATTCCTCTGTAAATGGGGTACAGAGCTAAACAGAATTCTCAACAGAGGAATATTAGGAATTCTTAATGCCTCCAATCCCTGTTTGTCTGTATCATTGGGTTTGAGAATCTTTGTTACTCTGTAATTGGATAGGTTTTCTATGCCTTTAGCTTCCAACTCTATTCCTCTATTACTTGTACACTTAGGTCTCTTGATTATGTCCCAAAGTTTCTCAAAGTCATGGACATCGGTTTTGTTTGTTTCTTTAACTGTACTCTTGACTTTGTTTTTAAACCCTAGTGTTGTTTCTTTTGCTTTGACCTAGTCTATTGGTGGCCTAGTCTATTGGTTTCCATTGGTTTATTATTATTATTATTATCATTTATTGCTGTTATTATTTACTGTTTTGTTTAATTTCCATTTTCCTGCTAATTTTTAATCTATGTTGCAAACTTTTTATATCTAGGTCCTGAATTATGTCCACACTTCAGTGACCTGCTTCTTCAGACCTTCCTTTTTAAAGTCATTGATGTTTAAAGTAGGCTTTTGAATTTTTTGTCTTACATTGCAACTGTATCAGCATCTTTGGTTTTACCTATTGAGGAGTTATGATCTTTTAGCTAAAGAGTTATACTGGCTAAATTTTTCATACTTCTCCAGTTTTATAGTGTGACTTGGTCATCTATTGAGATGTACATGTATTTTTTATTTTCTTTATATATTTTTGAGAGGGCAGTTTTCTCTTGGGCTTATTACTCTTTTAAGGAGATGAAGCAGAGATTAATAACAAAACAATTACTTGTTCAGATGTATTAAAATGCAAATGACTACTTAACCTACATCCTTAGTAAGATTATAAAAGGTCTCAGACCGTAATTATAAAAACATGGAAGTTTAAAAGTTACTGATATTAAAGTTACTGCTAATGATAAGTTTTAAAAAGTAGAGATTTGGAAAGGGGTATGAGAGAACGTGAACAAGAGTTAATAGTAAGAGCATGGAAAGCATAACAGAAAGTACAACAGAAATAAGGCTAAAAATATAGACAAAATAACCATTACAGCAGACCAAGAGAAACAAAACCAAGGAAAAAGAAAAAGCCAAAGAGAATTAAGTAGAAAACAATATATCGCCAGTATGTGCTCCCTGCTTAGAAACTTGTGGACTGTCTTAACTTAGGCTGTAAGTTCCCCCTCCTGGGTCACTTCTGGTTCCCTTCAGATTCACCCTGTCTGCAGCTATGCACTTGTCTTGTACAGGTATGTGTCACTATGCCCAGTTTTATGAAATTCTGAACCTAAATCCTGGGTCTTTGTGAATACTTGTCAAACACTCTTATAAAACATTCATAGAGCTTGTTTTCAACTCCCAGCATACTCATAATTCAGGCGCTCCAGAAGTAGAAACAGGAGGATCACTTTAAGATCATCCTTTACTACAACAGTAATTAAGGCCAGCATAAGGTACATAAGACCCTGTTTCAGAAGGGAGGGAGAGAACGAGGAAAGGACAGAGGAAGAAGAAGGGAGAGGGAGGGGGAATCAAGAAAGGAATGGAAGGGAGGGATGGAGGTAGGGACAGAAGGAAGGTAGAAAGCAAACAAGCAAGGAGGAAGGGAAGGAGTTAAAATGGTTGATAATGAAATATTCCGCATTTGGCTAGAAGAAGTGTATTCAGGCTAGCCCCTGCATCCTTTGGCATGGATGCATCATCATCTTTAATGCTTTCTGTGGGTTAGTAATCCACACTAACCTCAGACCTTTGTTTACCTGAGCAAATATTTCTAACACAGATAATGTAGTACATTTCATTGTTACCCTTACCTGCATATTTTAAAAAATCACCTTGACATTTAATTTTCTTAAAAAAATTAGTTTAATTTACTTACAAAACAGCAATATATATTTATTTTTTTAAACCAGGGGTGCAGTCATAATGGCTCAGTATAGAGTGCAGGCTTAGTATGCAGGGGCCATGTGAAGTCTCCAGCAGCAAAGAAAATAACAATTATTTCTTTAAAAAACAGAATAAGAGAAAATTCAGACTATACAGAAAATACTGCTTTGTTTAAAAAATTAATAAATCCCAATTTTATTGTCACTATCCTTTATCTAATTTATAAACTATATTTTAAAGTTTTCTATATATAATTATTTTAAGTATCTATGTATAACTCACATCCAGTTGTACTGAAAATATACTGGCAGTGAAATCTTGCTTCATGTTTTCCCAAATGGAGCCTTACCTGAGGAGTCCAGTAAAAATTGGGACTCAATCTGTAGAGTTTTCTTTTATGGAAACTTTGAAGGGGCCTTGTTCGGGCAGCTGTACTCATGATAGCCAAGGATGGAGATTTCAATCTTGTCCTGTCTTTTCTCCTTTTCTTACTGTGCTTCTGATTAAGTAACCAGCTACTGGAGGAAGAGAGCTCATCTAAATTCTCTGAAGCACTGAAAAATGTATGAAATAATTGGAGATGGGGGTAAAATAAAATGAACAAAAAGACAGAAAACTATATGCAAATTTTCATGGTTTATTGTGATAGAAGAGTTTTCATTTTCAATTTTGTGATAACAATAGGTAAAATAATTGACATTAACAAAGAACTACATAGTAAAATATAAAATAATTTCTATTTTCTGCTGCAAAGTTAAATGTTAAGTTAAAATGTTCTTTAGTATAAAATAATGTTCTTTACAAATCAATAATTAACACAGAACATAGTTTAACTATTTATGCCAGTTTCTTTTTGCATGTGGTTGAAGTACATCAAAAACAAATGCTTAAAAAGTACCAAGGTCTCCTCACTGCATCTTTCATTTCCTTAAATAAGCAAGTCTACTGCATACCAAATTTCAATGAATTCTGAAACAGCTACAATCCTATTATAGTTTAAAATTTTTTTAAACTTATGATATATAAGTTATAACTATAAAATAATGAAATAAGCTATACATGGAAAATATAGTATTAAAGTTACTCTTTATAACAAATTTTAACATTAATTTAAGGTTTTATGAACTCAAGTTCCCAGGAAAGAAAAGAACATCTATTTTGAAGATTTTACAAACTGACTGACAGGTTACAACTTGGATTATGTTGGAATATTACAGATCAAGAAAAAAGTATCTTGGGGTGTCTTTATTCCTTTAACAGCAATTTGTGATCTATCTCTAAATCTGAACTAGTTTTATTCTGAATCGCAGTAAAACCTTTAGACTAGATTAATAATTCAGATATTACCAGACCACTAGCTTCTACAACACAAACACTAAGAACGTCAAGAGAAAGCACCTGAAAGCACTAAGAGATGCCCTGCTTGGCTGTGACTGGCGTACTGGAGTCTCCAGCCCTGTATTTGGTAGGTGCTTTGATGTATGACTTCCTTTTGTTTGTGAAAACATCCATGAATTGTTTTAACAGTGGACTATATCATTCAAGGCAACCCAAGTCTGTTTCTAGATGTAATTACTCTAGATGTAATAAACTGTGTCTTAGGAATTTTGGAGAGCTGTTTTATGTTGACACATTTAACTTCACTTATATTAGTATGTCACTAATGTATGTATATGTAAATACATGTATATGTATTTACATATACATGGTATAATATGTTATATATTATATATAACAATATAAAGTAAAATACTTCTGTGCTAATATAAATAAGCTTTTCACACACAACAGGTACCAATTTCAACTTTATGCAGACCAACACAGGTTTACTTAATAGTCTACCACTAACAAGTGAATTGGAGATAGGCTAGGTAGACACAGAAATAAAGTGACAAACTGCATACTAGCTAAAGGGCGATACAACTGTAGTGGAGTACAGCAGAGCATTACATGACCACTCAAAACCTGCTCAACAACTGGCAACTATCCTTTGCTTCATTACAATTACATCTCCATGTCATCAGCCTTGCAAATTTGCTTGCTTCTATCATGTATCTGACACCACCTAAAAAACCCCAACCAGGGCAGAGGGTTGGGTTAATTCTACACCAGGACACCCCCACACACAAACTACTTCCTCAAATTCCTTCCCTTTCCTCTACCTTAACTCAAGAATAATCCTCCCTTTCATTTTAAGTTTGGGCATAAAAGGAGCTATTGGAGATTTGGGATATATTTCTTTCTGAGAAGCCAGCTATTACTGTTTTACCATGTAACTTTGCCCTATAATAAACTTACTCTAAATTTCTTACTTATTTATTTTTTTAATGGTGACAAAGAACATGGAAACATTGAGTCGAGGTCTCTATCTGGTCCCTTTATCTTTGATATACTCCATAAGCTCCACTTGGAAGTAATAATGCTATTATATGTGATGATAGTATTCAATATATAAGCTATAAATAATGCTATTTGACTCAAGTACACTTGGCACTTGCAGGTGAATATAAGACACAGTTCTTCTGATGGCTAGAGAAAACAGCTCAGTCTGTAAAATACCTATTATAGAAGCACAAGTGCCTGAGTCTGGGTCCCTGGCATCCTTTCAGAAGCCAAGCACAGCAGTGCCTCTGTTTTGTTTTTGTTTTATTTTTTGTTTTCATAACTTCAACACTGGAGCAGGGGACAGGCTTATCTGGAATCTAGAACTCAGTGGAATGGATGGACTCCAGGTTCAGTGAGACTTTGTCTCTGAAAATAAGGTGGAGAGTGCTTGAGAAAGACTCCCAGCTTCTACCTCTGGCCTCTAAATGTATGAACATAAAACCCCAAGAATACATATAAATATCATGTCCTAACACATTCATACCACACAAACACACATAAAAGATGCTGTTTTTCTACAACAGTACTATTGCTTTTAAGTCATATTACACCTGTAACAATACTCTCTTAGAGAATGAAAAAAAAATTCAAGAATCATGAGCAATGGGAAAACAGAAAGTCAAAAAGAAGCCTGGATAGTTTATGTCCATGAAAACATAAAGAATTAAACAGAGAAGGTAACCAATACATTCAAAAACTATTTCAGCAATATTTGTAGCAATAAGTAATAATATAGTAACTGTCACCCAAAGTCTTTTGCCAGGCCTACTGACACAGGTTAGTAATTGTAGCCACTCAGGAAACCTCAGTAGTGACTCAGACTGTAAATTCAAGGCCTGTGTGGGACACCCAATAAGGCAAAGGCCAGCCTAGACAAATTAGTGAGACCCCATCTCAAATGTGTAAAGCACAAAGTGCTGGGACCACAGACAAGTGACACCATGCCCAGATAAAGGGGACTTTTTTTTCTTTTTATTTTGTTTTTTGTTTTTTGAGATAGGGTTTCTTAGTATCCCTGGCTGCCCTGGACTCGCTTTGTAGACCAGGCTGACCTCAAACTCACAGTGATCAGCCTGCCTCTGCCTCCCTGAGTGCTCCGATTAATGGTGTGCACTACCATGCCCAGCTGAAAAAAAATTTTTTAAAGTATAAAGCCAAATAAAATAGAAAGCTACTATAGATCACTATAGTGGAGTCACACACCTTTAATCCTAGCACTTGAAGACAGTGGCAGTCCAAGTTCAAGGCCAGCCTGGTCTACAGAGTTCCAGGACAGCCACAGCTACACAGAGAAATCCTGTCTCTAAAAAAAAAAAAAAAAAAAAAAAAAGCAAAAACAAAAGAAAGAAGGCTGGAATGTGTGTGTGTATACATACATACACACACATATCAATTGTTAGGGCACTTGCTTAGCATGTGTAAAACTAGATTCAATTCACAGTACAAAATAAATATTTAAACTACAGTCTTTTAATTTTGTGTTAAGAGTTCTAATACATGTAAACATGGCCCCTGCGAACAAAAGTGACTTAGAAGACTTAATAACCAGATATAATATATAGATTTTGTTGGTTACTGATTCTAACAAATATTATTTAAAGATTCTGTTAATATTGACTCCTCACCAGGACTCCTCCCAGCTATCCTGTTGTTGTCCTGTGTCATGGAAGTCCTGCAGCTTTGGATCTACAGGACCTGCTCTTTCAAGCACTCCAAGAGTTCACAGATGACATAGTTGTTGGGGTGGGCCAACTCAGCCCTGGATCTAGGCCTGGATAGTAGCTGAGCTTGTCACAGTTCACCAGCTCTCCCTTATCCACACCACCAGGGTAAAAGCCAGAGACCTTGAACCAGACCAATGACTCACTTCAAGTGAAGATGTGTGGGCAGAGGAACAGACTATGACACACTACAGCTTCTACAATGAGATGTTTTCTGTGCTTTGTTGTTTATTTTGGTTTGTGTGTTTTTTAAATTTGGGGGGAGGTTATAGGGGCAGAGGACAGATATGAGAGAATGAGGAGATAAGTGTGAATGGGGTGCATAATGTGAAATTCACAAAGAATCAATTAAAAGTTTAAAAAGATGGTCTTAAGGATAAAAAGTTGAATGTGAGTAGAGAACTTCATGACAATGATAAATTATGGTTAGGATGGTAATGTGTATTTAAGAAGAAAAGTCAGGAGGTTCAGAAACTCAAGACCAAGGTAACAAAATATGATAGTCCATCACAGAAATATACAGAACTATTTAGTGTTAAAATAGCAATAATTAGAATTTGCTTTTAAAATATTTCTGAAGTGAACAACCATATCAGAAATAGAAATAGTTTAAGTGAGTTAGCAAAATATTGAAATAATTAAGTCTAGAAATAGGTAGATTTGTATATTCCATGGATAAAAAGGAAACTGATTATATAGTACTGTTTGTATTATTACATCTGGATATTAACCTCAAATGGGACTTTTTATTTCTTTTTGTAGTTGTTTTTGAGAAGTTTTTAATTTTTTATTATTGTCATTTATTACAATTTATCCAATTTTGTATCCCAGCTGTGCCCCCCTCCCTCGTCCTCTCCTAATCCCCCTCTCTCCCTCCCTCTTCTCCCCTTATGCCCCTCCCCTAGTCCACTGATAGGTGAGGTCTTCCTTCTATTTGACCCTAGTCCATCAGGTCTCATCAGGAGCCAAAGTTGGCATTAAACTTACTATGGCCCAACCTGGCATGGCCTGGAACTCATGATTCATCTATGCCATCCTCTGAAGAACTGTGAACAGGCATATAACACAAGGCCTGCCCAAAGAGAATATCTTAAAAGCATGAAGACAACAAGACAAACAAAACCCCAAAAAGCAGAAACCTATTGATTGCCAGTCAAATATTATATCTTACCCGAGTTAAGAAAAGCCTACTGCAAACACAAAAAGAAAAGGGAGAAAAGTTAAGGAAACAGGGAGTTAGCTTCACAAGCATTAGAACATGAGCTTAGACTACACAGAACCCATGTAGGGAACCTGGTGTGGCATCAGGCACCTGTAAGCCCAGCAATGGCATCATGATAGAATACAGGCACATCTTGGAAGCTGGGCCTACCTGCTGAAGATTCCTGTCTCAAAAGGTAGATGAAGACCAACCCCAAAGTTGTCCTCTGACTGTAATCATCCTGGGCACATGTGCACAAGGGAACCCACACATGTACCACACAATGAAAATAAAAGCAAAAATACTTTCAAACCCTGCCTTTTCAGATGAAAGATTATTTTTACTAACATTTTGCTATATGTCCCTCAAATAGTTTTTCCTAAGAAATTATTGTACAACAAATTTTATATCTTTATTTTCCCAATTAATAGCATAAAATAAACCTGTTCTTATATAATTACACACTTTCCAGATGTAATTTTAATAGTATACCAGTAAACTCCCCTATATAAAGTTAGTTTTACACTTACATCCTTAAAGATAAAAAAGAAAAAAAGCTGAATGAAAATAACTCCTACTGGCACTGCTGTAAAAACAGAGCAGGGAAGGTTTATTTCCCCACTGATATCACATATCTAGCTAACATAATAATTAGTGGCATCCATCAGAATTCAAAATTATATAAAAAACACTGACGTGGAAAATATTGTTATCAAACAAATTTCTCATAATTGACAAGTGACCACTAAAACATCATGATGGTAAAATGACTGTATATTGTGATTATTTTGAAAACAAACCTGTGTCTTTTCAATTATGATACCCAATTAGAAGAAACAGTTGTATTTCATATGAAATAATTCCAACTAATAGAAATAAATAGAATGGTAATGATTTATTTGGAATTTAATTTCACACTCCAGTCTGGAGCTTATTAAGGCAAAAATTAAACCAAAAAATTTAGACCTTGTTTCAAATAGAAATTCACTTTCTCAGAGATACTACCCCAAGGATCTCTTTACAGCATCTTATGTTCATTTTAGAATATTAGTTCTAAAAACTTGTAACTACACCATTGACAGAATTCAATGCTTCATTTATTTGGACAGTTAATAATACTTATTTGGTTCTCAGTGACTCATTTTAGACCTTAGTGCCAGGATTAAGAAAGCTAAGAAGATAATTACAGCCATATCACTTTCAGGTAGTCAGTGGCCTCAAATAGTAGATGAGGGTCAGGAATCAATGAGCAAAAGTGTACAAACAAGTTCGCCAGACGATACCAGTGAAGTTAAAGACAGTATGAGAGGAACTCACTAAGATGCTTATAACAATGACCTGAATATTAAAAATATATATTTCATAAATAGTTTTATGTGACCTATAAAAGGTAAAGACTAATTTAAAATTTAAATTTCTTCTACACTATGCAAAATTATGATATAATGTGATGTAAAACTAGAATGAGTACAGTTTGATGTAAAAACAAACATTTTATTCATGAGGTTCCTTATATGACATTTCAACTACATAGAATGCAGCCAAAATGACAAAAGGCCTCCATATAACCAAAAGAGATTTTAATATGTGCATGTATGCAAGCTTACTCATGACTTTTAAGAGAGGCTTTCTCTTCTATAAAATGTCTCTTACTACAATATAGGTATTTATACTGTTTTGAATTTCTCATTTTCTTTAAAATTTTTATTTTTAAGTATGGTGTGCATGTGCTTATAGGTGTGTGTATGCTTATGGAGAGAGAAGATCTCTTGGGAATATGAGTTACAGGCATTTATGAACTATTAAACATAGCTATTAGGATCAGGAAATCGAATCCTCTCGACAGGGCAGCAAGCACTGCTAACTGCTGAGCCATCTCTCCAGTACCACTTTTTGCATGCTCTAATCCAGAGGCAAATTACATGAGAAGCAAAACTAAAGGAGGCAGTCATTAGAGCAACAACATTCTGATGTAAATAAAACTAAGTACAATTTCTTTTTTCTTTTCATTCTTTCTTTCTTCTTCTTCTTCTTCTTCTTATTATTATTATTAATACAGGGTCTCCTGTATCCCAGACTGGCCTCAAAACCCTGATTCTTCTGCCCTATTTCCTCAGTGCTACCATTACAAGTGTGGACCTCCATATCCAGTTTATATCCTACTGGAAATGGAACCTAGAGCCTCATGCAGGCTAACACTATATCAACTTATATTCCCCAGCCTCCCCCAACATTCTTTTAAGAATGTCACACCTTTAATCCCAGCACTTGGGAGGCAGAGGCAGACAGATCTTTGTGAGGCCAGCCTGGTCTACAAAGTGAGTCCAGGACAGCCAAGGCTATACAGAAAAACCCTGTCTCAAAAACAAAAAAGAAAGAAAAGAAGAAAAGAATTTCAATTATCCACAAGGATCCTGGGCCTACCAAGTGTCTACTTACTGAAGAGTTGGTATACAGGCTGGCATACAGGTGGTGGAACCTTTAATAAGACAAAGAGAGGTCCTTGAGCCACAAGAGGTATGACCTTGAGAAGGGCTCTTACAGGGCTCCTCACAGCTCAGACTGTCTTCCTTTTTGCTCACAAATCAGGTGGTTCCTGATTTGTTTCACCAAACACTCTTGCCATTGTGTGCTGCCTGGTTGCGAACCTCAAGCTGATCAGTGCAACCAACTGTGAACCTCTAAAACTACAAGCCAAAATCAATGTGTCCTAACTCAAAGATCATCATCTCAGGTAATTTTCCTATACCAACACCTATGCCAATGTAGGATGGCCAACAAATATTTCATTCATTCAATGTTAATTCATGTTCATAATGTATCTCTTCTGATCCAAAACAAGAACCACAATTTAACAAGACAAACTAAAGAAACTTTTTTGAAGCTAGTTAAAAGTCTAAAACAGCAGAAAAGTAATAAATATGTAAAAACATTAGCAAATCACAACTGTTAGCTAATATTGATAACCACCATGAAAAAAAATCGACTGTTCCACGTCTTTTCTTTTAGTAGTAGTGACTGAATGCTGAGCCTCAGACATGCTAGGCAAGTGTGCTACGACTGAGCCACATTGCCAGCACGCAGACATGCTAGGCAAGTGTGCTACGACTGAGCCACATTTCCAGCTCCTGCAATGCTCCTGCCCCAGTTTGCAGGTGGCTAGAAGGAAAGAAATGCACTACCATGCTCATTTTGACTATTTTCTTCCTGTGATAGAGAAAAATATGCAAGATTATGCTATCATTTAGCTAAATTGAGATTAGATGAACTCCAAAATTAGATGAACTCCCAAATTTTGTGTGTGTGTGTGTGTGTGTGTGTGTGTGTGTGTGTGTGTGTGTGT